AGAAGATTTTTCATTTTGGAGCGAAAGTTGGATCGAGATGATCATTTGAAGGAGCAATATCACGATTTCATGAGAAAGTATGCAGATCTACAACATATGGAGCCTGTAAAATCCGATGATCATTCTGGATACTATATACCACATCACGCTATTATCAAGGAGTCCAGTTTGACAACAATACTACGAGCAGTGTTCGACGCATCTTCAAAGACGAGTTCAGGGTTATCTCTCAACGAGGTAATGATGGTGGGCCCGACAATCCAGGATGGAATCTTTGAACTTGTCTTAAGATTTCGATCTCACATTTTCGTTATAACAGCTGACATAGAGAAAATGTACAGGCAATTCTCGGTTCATCCTGAAAATAGAAAGTATCAGAAGATTCTTTGGCGTTTTGATAAGAGCAGTCCATTGATCACATATCAGCTAAATACCATTACTTACGGAACAGCAGCCGCACCTTTCTTAGCCACAAGATGTCTGAAGCGTTTAGCAAACGACGAGAGAGAATCATTTCCAGATGCTGCCGAAATTTTGGAACGTGATTTTTACGTGGACGACATGCTTACCGGAAAGGATACATTTGAAGAGGCCAAACAACTGCGAGATGAAATGATTGAATTAACTAAACGAGCCGGTCTCAATCTCTACAAGTGGAATTCAAATAATCCAGATTTGATCAATGATGTTGTTGATTGCTCGAAGACTACTTACCAAACCATCGGTCGAGATCAAACTTCTAAAACATTGGGATTAGGATGGAATGCAACAGACGATTCACTGAGATTCGATCATACAAAGACGATTCAAGATAGTGTTGTGACAAAGCGATCAATACTGTCTCAAGTCTCGCAGCTGTATGACCCACTTGGACTAATAGCTCCTGTTGTCGTCTTCGCCAAAATTCAGATACAGGAGTTGTGGAAACAAAGTTTAGAATGGGATAGTCCGATTCCTGATGAGGCACTGATCAAATGGAAGGAGTATAAAGAGCAGCTGAATTTGTTGAGCGAGTGGAGAATCCCAAGGTCAATCAAGGTCATGAATATGGATCAGTATGAAATTCATGGATTTGCGGATGCCAGCCAAAAGGCCTATGGGGCATGTATCTACATTCGGTCATCTGATGGAACAAACCACTTTGCTATATTATTATGTGCAAAATCTCGTGTGGCACCAGTCAAGGTTGTATCACTGGCAAGATTGGAACTTTGCGCGGCTGTCTTGCTTGTAAGACTTTGCAAGGCAGTTCTTGGATCATTGAGGATGAAATTCAGCAGATCAGTGTTTTGGTCTGATTCAACAATAACACTGAATTGGATAAAGACAGCTCCTTATCGACTGGAAACGTTCGAAGCGAATAGAGTTTCAGAAATCCAAAGTCTGACTCACTCATCTGACTGGAGGTACGTACCAACCAAAGAAAATCCTGCGGATTGTATATCTCGAGGACAATTGCCTTCAGATTTTATTTCCAATGACTTGTGGATCAATGGACCTGCTTGGCTGAGGGAGGATGAATCGAGTTGGCCCGCATCATTGATTGTAAACGAGAAGAGTGTTGGAATGAAGAAGATTATCAATCATGTATTCGTGAATGCAATTATCAAAACAAATGAATTATGGAATCGATATTCGTCCTGGAAAAAATTAATTCATGTAATTGCATACTGTCGTCGGTGGCTGAGTAAAATACGTGGAAAAACCTTCTCGTCCAGAACATTATCAGTTGAGGAGAATCAAGATGCATCGGATCAGATTATTCGTCTCGTCCAACATGAAGTATTCCGTGAGGATTTTTGCAGCCTATCCAGTGGAAAGTCATTATCGAATTCTTCAAAAATCATTAAATTGTCACCAATAATAGAAAATGATATTTTGAGGGTGGGAGGTAGACTGACGAACTCTGACTTAGACTATGGACAAAAACACCCGATCCTATTACCCAAAACTCATCCTGTTACCATTCTGATTGTTCGAGAGATTCATAAAAATTTAATGCACGCCGGAATTAACGCCACATTGTATGCTTCGCGTGAAAAATTTTGGATTGTAGATGGAAGATCGGTTGTTGCGAAAATTGTACATACTTGTATGAAATGTAGTAGAGCAAATCCAAGAGAATTATCTTATAAGATGGGTAATTATCCAAAAACGAGAGTAACTGCAAGTAGACCTTTTGAGCGAACGGGTGTCGATTTTTGTGGGCATTTTTTTATAAAAGAAAAAAATTTTAGGAACAAAAACAAAATAAAGGTATTTGCAGCGGTATTTGTATGCTTGTCGACAAAAGCTGTACATATAGAATTGGCTCGAGATTTGTCCACGGAAGCGTTCATAGCTTGCTTGAGACGATTTTTCAGTAGACGCGGAAAATCAAAAATGTTATATTCGGATAATGCGACGAATTTCGTGGGAGCAAGCAGGGAGCTAAAGGAACTTCACGGAATGCTAGAGGAAAATAAAAAAAATGAACAAATAAACCAATTTCTAACAAATGAGGGTGTGGAATGGCATTTTATTCCGCCACGTACACCACATTTTGGCGGAATTTGGGAGGCAGCCGTGAAGTCCCTGAAGTACCACATGCGAAGAGTGCTTGGAGAGACTTTATTTACGTATGAGGAATTATATACATTCATGTGTGAAATTGAGGCAATTTTAAATTCGCGGCCACTCACACCAATGTCCAACGATCCGAACGACTATCTTGTATTAACTCCAGGGCACTTCCTAATAGGTCAATCTCTTTCAACGGTTCCTCACGTAGATTATACTCAAATTTGTACAAATAGATTATCATCGTATCAACATATTCAAAAATTAAAAACAGATCTTTGGAAAAGATGGTCACATGAATATTTAAATGAATTGAATGCAAAAAGTAAATGGTATCAATCGCAAACGAAAGATATAAAGGTAGGGACATTAGTTACGTTGAGAGAAGACAATTTACCCCCTCTGCGATGGGCAATGGGTAGGATTGTGGAAGTTATCCCTGGAGAAGACGGAGTGGTGAGAGTAATAAAGGTGAAAACCGAAAAAGGTATATTTGCTCGCGGTGTAAAGCGTGTGTCTCCACTCCCGATTGAGTGAATTTCTAATTGAAATGAATGTAAATATTAACAAAAAAAAAAAAAAATTGTAAAAAAAAATATGAGTGTTCTCGAGAGGCAGTATGTCGCTTCGCGAATTATTTGAAGAGGGGCAACAATAGATTTAGAGAGGGGACAATTGATTGTAATCGACAATTAGGCAGATGACTAATAACTTTAGTAGAGATAGCAGTATAATTAGTGACTCGAAATTTTTAATATAAATTGTAATATAATATTTAAAGGAAAGACAATTTTTGTGGAGTGCTTTTCTTTTTTGAAATAAATTAAATAGTTTGATTAATTAACTCAGCTTATTTATTCTCACCACATTGGCAAAATCGAGTTCAATTTTTTATTTGCCAAAGTGACAAATAATAATTGAATTCTTTTGGGAAATTTGATTTAAACAGTAGATATTGAAAATAATTAAATTCTTGAGGATAATTTTATTAATTTTTTCAAAAACAATTGAATTCCCATAAAAAAATTGTATTATTAATTAAAAAATAATTGAATAGTTGCTAAGAATTTGCCTAAAATTTTTTAAATAATTAAATTTCTATAAATAATATTATTAATTATGAAAATAATTAAATGTTTACGACGAATTTTATTAAAATGCTTGAAAATAATTGAATTTCTATGAAAAATTTTATTTATCCTTGACAAATTTTATTATTTATAAAAAAATAATTGAATTCTTGTCGAAAATTTGACTAAAATTTTTGGAATAATTGAATTTTTATCAAGAAATTTATTATATTTGAAAATAATCGAATTCTGGTGAAAAAAAATTAATTGTTTTTTAAAATAATTGAATTCCTGTAAAAAAATTTTGTTATTCATGAACATAATTTAATGTTATGTTAAAATAATTGCATTTTTCGAGGAATTCATTTAAATTGTATGAATTTTAAATTTTTTCAATTATTAAAAATAATGGAAATCCCGTGCGACAAATTTTATTATTTATATAAAAAATAATTGAATTTATGCTTAGATTTTCATCAAAAATTTTTTAAATAATTGAATTTCTTTAAAGAAATTTATTAAATTTGAAAATAATTGAATGTTTACGAAAAATTTTATTAAAATCTCTTAAAATAATTGAATTCCTGTGGAAAATTTTTTTATTTGTGAAAAAATAATTGAATGTTATGTTAAAATAATTGCATTTTTCGAGGAATTCGTTTAAAATTGTATTAAAAATAATTGAAATCACGCAATGAATTTTATTGTTTGTGAAAATAATTGAATTCTTGCTATGAATATTATTATTGTTTGTTTGTTTATTATTGTTATTAATATTATTGCTAATTATTACTGTTATTATTTATTATTATTGTAATAATGAGAATGCGATTATAAATTAGAGAGTACATTACCAAAAAAAGGAATTAAAATACTTAGAGAATAACACAAAAAAAAAAAAAAAAAAAAAAAATTAAATTATTTATTATTATAAATTATTATTGTTTGAAGGAAATTAAAATTACTTTTGTAATAATTCATATATTCAAAATTGTTTTAAAAATAATTGAAATAATTGAATTAATTAAAATGATTGCATTAAAAAGCTTTCTGAAATTTAACTGCTTTTAAAAACTACAATTTTAATTCTTCTAAAATTAAATAATTTCTTTTGATAAAATTGTTAAATAGAATTATTAAAAACTCTAATTATTTTTTAAGAAACTAGTAAATTAATATTTAGTTATTTATATTTTATAATAATTTACTTTTCAATAAATGAATAACTTTTCAAAATTCCATTTACGCGACACACTTAAAAAATAACTCTCTCTCTCTTTTTCTTTCTCCCTCGAAATCAATAAAAGGAACGCGATAAACCGTATCCACAATAAAATAGAATGAAAAAAAAATGGAAATTTTCTTTTTCAGCGCAATCAACGCTTTCGAAGAGGCAAGACGGAACAATAGAAGATTCGCGCAAAGTGCCAGTAAACTTGACTGCAACACGAACATCACTCATTGCAACCGATGGTGAGTGCGTAAAAAGAAAAAATAAATAAAATATATCTAAACTTGTCGGAATTGCCTTGTCGTCCATTTTCGTCTTTACGAGGGCAGATTATAGCCGTTGAGCCTCAGCTTTCAAGCACGAAACATTAACTTTTGTTGGTTTGTTTCGCTCCATGTTGGAGTATGTGTCTGTGTGTGTTTGTTTGTGCCCAAAGCGACATCTAGGTTGAAAGGGGGCAAAAGGAACGCGGAAACTTTACGATCCATGGTATCCACACTTCAACCTGCTACCATAATACAGTCGCACTGCATCGAGTAAATTTTAATTCCTTTTAATTAGTCCAGTCACGCTAATTGCAAAAGTCCCCCGAATAAATGTTGTGTACGCGACTTGAAAACTTCACAATCGGCCGGGAAATTATTATCATTATTATTATCATTGTACTCGAGGAAATTGTAAATTTTACACAAAATCCAAAACGATTGTAGCTAATAATCTATTAATTAAATTCTATTAAAAACAAATTTTCATTAAAAAACGAAATTCCCTTCGTTCCGAGTTTTTTGTAAATTAACGAACAAAAAGTAGCTTCCAAACTGAAAAAAAATAGTAAAAAAGTGGCTATATTGAAAAATTAAACTCGACGACTAAAAAAAACTAGTTTTAGACACTTCACAAAACTGACAAAAATTCCATTCTTTATTTTCCTGACTTTTTCTCAATTTTCATAAAAAATATTTATTTCTTTCTTATTCTGCTAATAATTTTAATTTCTGCAACGAATTTTATTACTCATGGAAGAATTTGAATATTTATAAAAAAAAATTTATTTTTTAAGCGAAGAATTTTATAAAAATTTTTAAATAATTGATTTCTTCGACTAATTTTATGCAAATTCTAATTTAAATGATTGAATTGTTGAGAAATTTGTATTATTTATGAAAAAAATTGAATTCTCACCAAGATTTTTAAAAAAAATTTTTAAATAATTGAATTTTCGTGATGAATATTGTTATTTTTGAAAATAATTGAATTTTGAAAAGAAGTTTAATAAAATTTCTAAAAATAATTGAATTTCCAAGAAGAAATTTATTACTTTTGATAATAATCGAATTTTGAAAAGAAGTTTAATAAAATTCCTAAAAGTAATTGAATTTCCAAGAAGAAATTTATTACTTTTGAAAATAATTGAATTTTCGTGATGAATATTGTTATTTTTGAAAATAATTGAATTTTGAAAAGAAGTTTAATAAAATTTCTAAAAATAATTGAATTTCCAAGAAGAAATTTATTACTTTTAAAAATAATTGAATTTACAAGAAGAAATTTATTACTTTTGAAAATAATTGAATTTTCGTGATGAATATTGTTATTTTTGAAAATAATTGAATTTTGAAAAGAAGTTTAATAAAATTCCTAAAAATAATTGAATTTTTAAGAAGAAATTTATTACTTTTAAAAATAATTGAATTCTTGTGATGAATATTTTTGAAAATAATTGAATTTTGAAAAGAAGTTTAATAAAATTCCTAAAAATAATTGAATTTCCAAGAAGAAATTTATTACTTTTAAAAATAATTGAATTTACAAGAAGAAATTTATTACTTTTGAAAATAATTGAATTTTCGTGATGAATATTGTTATTTTTGAAAATAATTGAATTTTGAAAAGAAGTTTAATAAAATTCCTAAAAATAATTGAATTTTTAAGAAGAAATTTATTACTTTTAAAAATAATTGAATTCTTGTGATGAATATTTTTGAAAATAATTGAATTTTGAAAAGAAGTTTAATAAAATTCCTAAAAATAATTGAATTTCCAAGAAGAAATTTATTACTTTCAAAAATAATTGAATTCTTGTGATGAATATTTTTGAAAATAATTGAATTTTGAAAAGAAGTTTAATAAAATTCCTAAAAATAATTGAATTTCCAAGAAGAAATTTATTACTTTTGAAAATAATTGAATTCTTGTGATGAATTTTTTTGAAAATAATTGAATTTTCGTAATGAATATTGTTATTTATCAAAATAATTGAATTCTTGTGATGAATATTATTATTTTTGAAAATAATTGAATTTTTGTGATGAATATTGTTATTTTTTAAAATAATTGAATTTTGAAAAGAAGTTTAATAAAATTCCTAAAAATAATAGAATTTCCAAGAAGAAATTTATTACTTTTGAAAATAATTGAATTCTTGTGATGAATATTTTTGAAAATAATTGAATGTTTGTGATGAATATTGTTATTTTTAAAAATAAATGAATTTTGAAAAGAATCTTTGAAAATAATTGAAAGTCTACAAAAAAATTTTTTCAAAATATTTAAGAATAATTGAATTCGTATGCAACTTTATCAAAATTATAGAATTGAAAATAATTGAAATCCTATGAAAAATTTTATTTTTTACGTAAATAATTGAATTACCGTGGATAATTTTATCATTTGAACAAACAATGGAATTCTTGCTTAGAATTTGACTACAATTTTTGAAATAATTCAATATTTCTAAAGAATAAAAAATTTCTAAAGAATTTTTTTTTTTTTGTAAATAATTGAATTTCCGTGAAAAATTTTATTATTTGTTAAAATACTTGAATTCTTGCTCAAAATTTGAATAGATAAATAATTGAATTTCTAGAAAGAATTTTATTATTTTTGAAAATAATTGCATTTTTTTCAAGGAATTCATTTAAAATAGTATTAAAAAATAATTGAAACTTTGCGATGAGTTTATAAAAATAATTAAATTCTTGCTTAGAATTTTATCGAGTTTTTCAAAATATTTTAATTCAAGTGAAATTTTTTTATTATTTGTAAAAATAATTGAATTCTTGTGAAAACTTGTATAAAAATTTTGCTTAATAATTGATAAATAATTTTTTTGAAAAATGTTATTCTACATTAATTGAATTTCTGTGGGAATTTTATGATTTATGAAAATAATTGAATTTTGAATGAATTTTATTTAAATTTCTTTTTTAAAATTTAAATAATTGAATTGTTTTGTGAAATTTTATGAAAATAGTAAATATTAAAAATAATTGAATTTCGAATAGTAAATATTGAAAATAATTGAATTTCGAATAGTTATTGAAAATAATTGAATGTCAATTTGAAAATAATTTTTTAAAGTTTTATTAAAAGGTAATTTTTTTTCTAAGGAACAAGATGTTTAGACGAAAAATTAAAAATTATATTTTATCGTCTCACTACCCACTTAGTTGACGGCTGTGGGGAGTCATTAAGACCGCCCGGTGGCAACGTCACGAGTTACACACTTTGTCAGGGTAAGTTTCGTCGTTGCACCGCTGCCCGATTAAATTACTGAGCTGACACGAACGGGTAACTTGACTTGCCGAGCGAACGATAACTTTTCCCAAGACGGACCCTATAAGAGAGTTAACGTGTTCCCTTGCGAAGAAATCTCGAGAAAAGAGAGAGAGAGAGAAAAAAAAGAGACATATGTTTTATTTCTCAAAAAGAAAGGAATCTTTAATCAATCAAGAGACTTTGATTTGCTTTTCTCAAGGGATTTTGTAAAAAAAAAAATTTTTTTTTAATTAAAGAAATTCTATGAGAATTGTAAAAATAGTTTAAAAAAAAAAAAAGTTGAAATGCTTTGAAGAAAGTTTTTTTTTTACTTTGGTGATGAAAAAAAGAAAAAGAAGAGAAAAAGGTCTTCACATTATTTCGCGAACACTTAACGAGTACTTGAGGATCTTTCATTAATGAAAGTTTGTAATTAATTGCCCCATTAATAGTGAGCGATGTCTTTACTTTCAAAGGCGTTAAATTTAAATAGGATATGACTTTATAAAAGAATTGTGATTAATATTTCTGAGGGAGGGAAACCGCACTCGACATTTTCATAACATTACAATTTTTCTCGCGAGGAAAAGTGAAATTTTTTCTTTCAATTATCATTTTCTTTTATATTATTCAAGTTCTCAAAGGGGAAAAAATTTTTAACGAAAATTTCTTCTGGAATGACCCATGTGTTATAATGTAAAATAATAATTTTACATAATTATATATGGGTAATTCCAAGAGAAATTTTCCTTAAAAAGATTTTTTCTCGTTGGAACAATTTTTTTTAATTCTAGATATAAAAAAAATAGAAAAAGACGTAATTTCAAAATTCAATTATTTTCATAAATAATCCAGAGGAATTCTATTAATTTAAAACATAATTTTCAAAAAAATTTCGAAAAATCAATTATTTAACAAAATATTTTTTTATAATTCTTTGGAAGAATTCAATTATTTACAAAAATATTAGAATTTTTCACAGGAGTTCAATTATTTTCAAAAATTATAATAAAATTGTTCGGATGAAATCAATTATTTTAAATGCAATTTTAATTAAATTGTTTTGAAATAATTCAATTATTCTTTTAGATTTTAATAAAGTTCTTCGCAAGAATTCAAAAAAATTTAAATTATTCAAAGAAATTTATGAAAATATTTAAAAATAATTTAATTTTGAAAATTTATCAAAATTGTATTTAAAATAATTGAATTCCAGTAAAAAAAAAAACATTATTTATAAAAATAATTGAATTCTTGTAACAAATTTCATTAAAAATTAAGAATATAATTGAATTCCTGAGAATTTCATTGTAATCTTTTGTTTTTAAATAATTGACTTAATAATATTGAATTTCCGTGGTAAATTTTGTGATTTGTAAAAATAATTGAATTATTACGAAGAATTTTATCAAATTTTGAAAATAATTGAATTTTTTAAAGCACTTTGTGATAATAAATTTAAAAATAATTGAAGTTTGTGAGGAATTCAATTACATTTTTATTAGAAAAAAATTGAATTCAATTTAAATTGAATTTACCAAGAATTTGATTGAAACTTTGGAAAATAATTAAATTTCTTCGATGAATTTCATAAAAATCTAAAAGTATAATTGAATTATTTCGCATAATTGAATTAAAATTATTGTATTACAAAATAATTGATTTTTCTTTTGAAAAATTTTACTAAAATCTTTCAAGTAATTGA